TTCAAGGAGTATAGGACAGTTGTGGAGAAACAACAAGGTAAAAGTATCAAGTGTCTTCGATCTGATCGAGAAGGCGAATATCTCTTTGGAGAGTTTAGGACATACCTATCAAAAGCAGGGATTGAATCCCAGCTGACTGCACCAAGAGCCATGATCGAAGCAGGGGTGTTCACTGGAAATCTTGGGAGGCTGTCACCATTCCTAAGGATACTGGAGGTCTTGGCTTTAAAGATCTTCTGCTTTTCAATGATAGCCTAATTTTGAAACATATTTGGAGGATCATATTAAATCCCAACTTATTTGTGAGTAAAGTGTTGAAGGCTAAATACTTCCCTAATTCAAGTATCCTGCAAGTGAAGAATCCTTCTACAGCATCTTGGCTTTGGTCTACTTGGTTGGGGGTGAGAGAAAAATACAAGCACTGTTTCAGGATGGAAATTAGAGATGGAGCTTCTTGTAAATTCTGGAAGGATGCATGGATTCCTTCTGTAGATGGTGGCATTCCAAAGCTGAAACTTGGGGTTGTAATCTGATTTGGGTCAAGGATCTTATGGAATTGGGTGGAAGGAGATGGAATTACCAGCTGCTGGATTCATTATTCTTTCAGAATGATAGAAATGCCATCCTTAGTATCAATTCCTTGGACCCTTCTCAACATGATAAATGGGTTTGGACACTTGATCAAAATGGGTGTTTCTCTGTTGCTGGTTCTTATGCTGGTATCATAAAGCAGAAAGTGTTGAAGTGGGGTTTACCTGAGGGAGTAATTCTGCTGTAAGAGACTCTAATGTCAGAAGAAGGAGCTGGAGATTAAAAATTAAACATAAGCTGAAACATTTCATTTGGAAATGTTATAGCAAATCTCTCCCTTCTAGTGTCCAACTTCAATCAAGAGGCATGATGCTTGATCCTATTTGTAACTGCTGTGGTGAGGAGTTAGAAACTACAGAGCATATCCTTTTTCAATGCAAAAGAGCTCAATTAATTTGGAAACTTGCTCCTGATAGATGGGATGGAATGCAAGATCTCACTCACTGTTTCAGATCATGGTGGTGGTCCATTTGCTCTCTGGATAGGTCAGTGACTTCACAGGATAGGATACAACTCACCACATATATTTTGTGGTGGTTGTGGAAATCTAGGAATTTGTGGAAGTTCCAAAATTGCAGAATGCCAGAGCAAGAAGTGATCAAGGTGGCTGTTAAAGAGTGGCTGGAGTTTTCTTCAGCTCAAGTTGCTGTCACATTTTGAAGGCACAACAGTGCTTACTAGGTCCCATTTTCGGGTTCAGTGGTTCAACATTTTTTCTGGCCTGATTTTACTGTTGGAGTTTTTTTGTATGGTCTTGGGTGGCTTGTTGAAGACTGTCGTGCTGTTATTCTTTGTCCTTGTCTCGGCTGGAAGATTCAGTACTTTCTTTTGCTGCTTTTAGCTGGGTTGCCTAGGGCTGCTATTTTTCT